CTCCCAGTCGCATTCTAATGAGAAAGTGTCAAACGCTGGGAATAAAAGAGCTGGAAAAGAATGACGGAGTAATATAAAGACGAAACGATTTTTTCTCTATCTTTCGTCACATTTTAAAATTTTCTCATTGAAGTCAGCTGACCACGAAAGCATTTACGGAAAAAGAGAACGATTTTCTCTCATACTTGTACCATTGCCCTACAATTCTCTCATTTCATTCAATTGAAAACGTGTCACGACCAACAGGGGATTGTTTTTTGCTCGTTCGATACTCGGTTTTCATAACATTACATCCAGCTTTTGTTTGATATCACTTATTACTCCTGTATAGTTTTCTTTGCTGTATTAAATTTTAATTATTTCTATGAATTCAGTAGCTATTGAATGAAATAAAATGCTAAGTTAACCCATATGATAACAGCAAGTGAGGCATCAAAGCTCGTGGTTATGAGCGAAATTGTAACAAAAAAGATCAAAAAATAAACGATTAAAAGAGGTTTCTCAAAAGTTCGCCCAGTTAATACTATACTGGGGCACACACAGAAACAATTAACCTGGATTCATCTTGGATCATCGTCGCCACCGAGTAACCAACAAATCAGCATTTTTAAAACAACTTTTCTAGTTGCTGACAATTTCTTTTTGTTCGTTTCTTGAAGAGGAAATGTCTCAGCTTCTATTTCCAAGCAAATTTCCTTGTAAAAAATTGGTCAGCCAGGAGATACATCCCCAGAATTTGAGCACACTTAACACTACTGGGAGCGTAGTTCAAGAGCCATTTTGACAATGACTGCAGAAATTCACACGCGGTTATTAGCTAATATTCATTGTCAATAAGCGGACAGACACAGGAATTTTTAATTCCTGCCTTTTTTTATTGTACAAAAAACAAATTGACGTCAGGTTTTCATGCGTCTGTCCCGTTATGCGTCTGTCCTGTTATTAGCACCTCGTAGATCCACAGCTACTTTGACAATGTTATGACGAAATTCATGATCAACAACAGGACAGACGCATAAAAAACTGACGTAACTTGTTAAATTTACACTTCCGCTGAGGAAAGAAAGGAATAAATGGGCGGATTAGCACCATTCACAAAGTGTCTGTGTGGGACTAATCGGCGAATTCTCAGTTGCTGACTTAATGATTTACAGGGGTAACAGGCTTGGTCATTACAGGAAACTTTCTTGACGATACATGAACAAGTTAATTTGACTCTGTAAACAAAGTTTTCTGCTGTCTATAAAATTTCCCGCTAAAAATTTAAAGTTACTGTTCTATATTGATATCAGCAATATAGAAATCAATATTACACAATTTATTAGTTTTGCCCCTTTACTCTTCGAGAGATTTCTTACTCACTTTTATCAACTC